TTGAATGCCAATTGATGGTAGGGATCCGTATGCATTCAAAAATGTATAACATTTTAAAATCAAACATTATTTACCCGAGGTATCAAAAAAATCATCAAAAAAGTTTCGATTATCGCAAAACCTCGATTTTGAAAAACAACGTGATGATTTAATGGAAGGTCATATCGCGGGAGTTATGTCGTTTTGGAACGTCATATCTCCACGCGGAGTTATGTCGTTTTGGAAGGTCATATCTCCGCGCGGAGTTATGTCGTTTTGGAACGTCATATCTCCGCGCGGAGTTATGTCGTTTTGGAACGTCATATCTCCGCGCGGAGTTATGTCGTTTTGGAACGTCATATCTCCGCGCGGAGTTATGTCGTTTTGGAACGTCATATCTCCGCGCGGAGTTATGTCGTTTTGGAACGTCATATCTCCGCGCGGAGCTATTACCCGAGATATTAAAAAAATCATCGAAAAAGTTTCGATTATCGCAAAACCTCGATTTTGAAAAACAACGTGATGATTTTATGGAAGGTCATATCGCTGGAGTTATGTCGTTTCGGAACGTCATATCTCCGCGCGGAGTTATGTCGTTTTGGAACGTCATATCTCCGCGCGGAGTTATGTCGTTTTGGAACGTCATATCTCCGCGCGGAGTTATGTCGTTTTGGAACGTCATATCTCCGCGCGGAGTTATGTCGTTTTGGAACGTCATATCTCCGCGCGGAGTTATGTCGTTTTGGAACGCGCGGAGTTATGTTGTTTTGGAATGTCATATCTCCGCGCGGAGTTATGTTGTTTTGGAACGTCATATCTCCGCGCGGAGTTATGTCGTTTTGGAACGTCATATCTCCGCGCGGAGTTATGTCGTTTTGGAACGTCATATCTCCGCGCGGAGTTATGTCGTTTTGGAACGTCATATCTCCGCGCGGAGCTATTACCCGAGATATTAAAAAAATCATCGAAAAAGTTTCGATTATCGCAAAACCTCGATTTTGAAAAACAACGTGATGATTTTATGGAAGGTCATATCGCTGGAGTTATGTCGTTTCGGAACGTCATATCTCCGCGCGGAGTTATGTCGTTTTGGAACGTCATATCTCCGCGCGGAGTTATGTCGTTTTGGAACGTCATATCTCCGCGCGGAGTTATGTCGTTTTGGAACGTCATATCTCCGCGCGGAGTTATGTCGTTTTGGAACGTCATATCTCCGCGCGGAGTTATGTCGTTTTGGAACGCGCGGAGTTATGTTGTTTTGGAATGTCATATCTCCGCGCGGAGTTATGTCGTTTTGGAAGGTCATATCTCCGCGCGGAGTTATGTCGTTTTGGAACGTCATATCTCCGCGCGGAGTTATGTCGTTTTGGAACGTCATATCTCCGCGCGGAGCTATTACCCGAGATATTAAAAAATCATCGAAAAAGTTTCGATTATCGCAAAACTTCGATTTTGAAAAACAACGTGATGATTTTATGGAAGGTCATATCGCTGGAGTTATGTCGTTTTGGAACGTCATATCTCCGCGCGGAGTTATGTCGTTTCGGAACGTCATATCTCCGCGTGGAGTTATGTCGTTTTGGAACGTCATATCTCCGCGCGGAGCTTTTACCCGAGATATTAAAAAAATTATCGAAAAAGTTTCGATTTTGGAAGATCATATCGCTGGAGTTATGTCGCTTTGGAACGTCATATCTCCGCGCTGAGTTATGTTGTTTTGGAATGTCATATCTCCGCGCGGAGTTATGTCGTTTTGGAACGTCATATCTCCGCGCGGAGCTATTACCCGAGATATTAAAAAAATCATCGAAAAAGTTTCGATTATCGCAAAACCTCGATTTTGAAAAACAACGTGATGATTTTATGGAAGGTCATATCGCGGGAGCAATGTCGTTTTGGAACGTCATATCTCCAGGCGGAGTTATGTCGTTTTAGAAGGTCATATCTCCGCGCGGAGTTATGTCGTTTTGGAACGTCATATCTCCGCGCGGAGTTATGTCGTTTCGGAACGTCATATCTCCGCGCGGAGTTATGTCGTTTCGGAACGTCATATCTCCGCGCGGAGCTATTACCCGAGATATTAAAAAATCATCGAAAAAGTTTCGATTATCGCAAAACTTCGATTTTGAAAAACGTGATGATTTTATGGAAGGTCATATCGCTGGAGTTATGTCGCTTTGGAACGTCATATCTCCGCGCGGAGTTATGTGTTTTTGGAATGTCATATCTCCGCGCGGAGTTATGTCGTTTTGGAACGTCATATCTCCGCGCGGAGTTATGTCGTTTTGGAACGTCATATCTCCGCGCGGAGTTATGTCGTTTTGGAACGTCATATCTCCGCGCGGAGTTATGTCGTTTTGGAACGTCATATCTCCGCGCGGAGTTATGTCGTTTTGGAACGTCATATCTCCGCGCGGAGTTATGTCGTTTTGGAACGTCATATCTCCGCGCGGAGTTATGTCGTTTTGGAACGTCATATCTCCGCGCGGAGCTATTACCCGAGATATTAAAAATATTATCGAAAAAGTTTCGATTTTCGCACCGACCTCGATTTTGAAAAAAAACGTTATGTAACCCCTTGTCATCCGTACGAATACAAAAAGGCATAAAATATAAAAATCAGACAATGTTTACCCGAGAAAATTAAAAAAAAATCATCAATAAAGTTTTGATTTCGAGTCGAAAAAAGGTTGACTTTACGAGCGAATCGGTTTTTTGTCTACAACATTTTTTTTTTAATTAAACGATGTTTAATTTGCTTTGAATGCCAATTGATGGTAGGGATCCGTATGCATTCAAAAATGTATAACATTTTAAAATCAAACATTATTTACCCGAGGTATCAAAAAAATCATCAAAAAAGTTTCGATTATCGCAAAACCTCGATTTTGAAAAACAACGTGATGACTTTATGGAAGGTCATATCGCGGGAGTTATGTCGTTTTGGAACGTCATATCTCCACGCGGAGTTATGTCGTTTTGGAACGTCATATCTCCACGCGGAGTTATGTCGTTTTGGAACGTCATATCTCCACGCGGAATTATGTCGTTTTGGAAGGTCATATCTCCGCGCGGAGTTATATCGTTTTGGAACGTCATATCTCCGCGCGGAGTTATGTCGTTTTGGAAGGTCATATCTCCGCGCGGAGTTATATCGTTTTGGAACGTCATATCTCCGCGCGGAGTTATGTCGTTTTGGAACGTCATATCTCCACGCGGAGTTATGTCGTTTTGGAAGGTCATATCTCCGCGCGGAGTTATGTCGTTTTGGAAGGTCATATCTCAGCGCGGAGTTATGTCGTTTTGGAACGTCATATCTCCGCGCGGAGTTATGTCGTTTTGGAACGCCATATCTCCGCGCGGAGCTATTACCCGAGATATTAAAAAAATCATCGAAAAAGTTTCGATTATCGCAAAACCTCGATTTTGAAAAACAACGTGATGATTTTATGGAAGGTCATATCGCGGGAGTTATGTCGTTTTGGAACGTCATATCTCCACGCGGAGTTATGTCGTTTTGGAACGTCATATCTCCACGCGGAGTTATGTCGTTTTGGAACGTCATATCTCCACGCGGAATTATGTCGTTTTGGAAGGTCATATCTCCGCGCGGAGTTATATCGTTTTGAACGTCATATCTCCGCGCGGAGTTATGTCGTTTTGGAACGTCATATCTCCGCGCGGAGCTATTACCCGAGATATTAAAAAAATCATCGAAAAAGTTTTGATTATCGCAAAACCTCGATTTTGAAAAAGAACGTGATGATTTTATGGAAGGTCATATCGCTGGAGTTATGTCGTTTTGGAACGTCATATCTCCACGCGGAGTTATGTCGTTTTGGAAGGTCATATCTCCGCGCGGAGTTATGTCGTTTTGGAACGTCATATCTCCGCGCGGAGTTATGTCGTTTTGGAACGTCATATCTCCGCGCGGAGTTATGTCGTTTTGGAACGTCATATCTCCGCGCGGAGTTATGTCGTTTTGGAACGTCATATCTCCGCGCGGAGTTATGTCGTTTTGGAACGTCATATCTCCACGCGGAGTTATGTTGTTTTGGAATGTCATATCTCCACGCGGAGTTGATTTAAGTCAGCAAAATTGAAATACACAGGCTGCCAACTATGTTACTTAGCATCGTCCAAGTCGTCTGGCTGGGCGCCTTCCAAGGAGACGTAGAATTAGAGGAATCCGAGTTCGGAGGTTTCATCCAATCGATCTCACAGACCGGTTTATATAATCAAGCTTGTAAATTCGCCTATTCGACTTAACAGTAGAATATGTTACATTGTAAATATGCATATTAATTCAATTAAAGTTGTTAGCAGAAAAATTTGTTAAATCAAAATTGAACCGAAAAGAATTTAGCAACCACTTTGACCTTAACAGGTCAAAATCTTAGCAGGCAGCTTTTGTACACGTCTATTGATATGCCCGATTTAGACGCATATTAGTCCGAGAATATTACCTTATAACACTTTCAAATGGCTTTTTAATCGACAAGGTTGGCGCACAGCAAACGAAGCGAGCAATCCAAGAACTGGCGGCAGATAATGTAGATAATGCACAAGCAAGCGCAAGCATAAGTATGTGTGTGTGTGTAGATATGAATTGCAAATACACACACACAAACATATGCATGACTATGCAGAGAGAATCGCCAAGTCTGTATATGTGTGTATGTATGCATGTGTATATGTGCATGCGTATTATCTTCTTATTTTGCGAAGTGAGGCGAAAATTACAATATATATGCATGTATGTATGTATGCATGCGTTTGCTTGTGCTTTATCTTCTTATTAGAAAATTACAATTAAATGAACACTAAATCGATGAACATCTTTAAATGTTAATTCCACTCTTGTCCAACTTTAGAATGGCATCACTTTTAATACATCCATTCATTTAATATACCATTAGAGAAATTGATGGCAAGTAAATGACTTGAGTATTTGGCACTTATTAGTTTTTGTAAAGCAGCTTGACTCGACTCTGCTAAATAACAATTGCGAAAACACTCACCCAAACATGTGTATGCAGGTAGAATTGCCTTATCTACATATCCATCAGCACATCCACCAGAAACGGTAAAGCAAATTAATAATAATGGGCTCAATAGACTATCACTAGCAGCACAATAACACACCCTGTCGACTGATGGGGCCACACTGACTTGAAGAGCGCTCTCACGAACAGACGAGCGCATCACTGCCAGCAGTTATTGATTGGACCAATCAGCGATCAGCACCAGACAGCATCGTGAGCGCGCGAGCGTAAGTAGCAAAACGACAGCGAACACACACACAAACTGGTGACTGCTTATCTCTGGCTTGAGCTCATCTCGGCGCAGACTCACGTTTGTGCGCGCGTGCCTGTGTGTGTGTGTGTGCGCATGCTGAGCAATGTGGTAATTGCATTCTCACTCAAATTTCGATCGCTTGCTTATTTTCTGGGCGCCGGTTTTTTCGTCCGCTTAAATCACTCACAATTTAACACTCTGTTAGTTTAACAGCAGTATTTAATATAAACATATTTTGATTAGCAGCTTTACTATAGATTGGCACATGATATATGATAATCTATATTTTTACTCAAATACAACACGTTTTTCTCAATTCTGTCTGATTTTGATTTGTTATACCTTTTTTTGAATTCGTACTGATCATAACTATTTACATTACAAAAAAATTCTCATTATATGCCATTTCTTAAGAAATTTATGCTATGTACATATAATTATTTTTATTTTTATTTAAATATTTGTTCAACATTTATTGTATTTGATTGCATTTCAATTAATTTCATTGAATAAATCAGACTTGATCAGAGCTAAACCTAACATGAATCTTACATTTTAGAGTACAAATTTCCAGGTTTTTCTCGGCACAGGAATATGTATGTGTGTGAGTATATATATATATATATATACATAAAAGGTATGTTTATAGATTTTGTATAGTTATTTTATGTGTTGGGTTTTTTTTTTAGTTCTTTTGTTTAAAGGCCGTTCCATGGCGTTTCCGAAAGCTGTTGAGAAGTCGATGAGTCAATCTCCAGGTGCCCAGAGCTGGGCTGCTGCTTGACCAAAAATAAAGAAAACTTCATGTACGAAGTCTAAAACAAGATTGAACGGAGTCAAGCAAAACAAGTAAGAGGTGCTAGTCGGGAGCTCACGACTAGGGGATACCCTGAACCCTCTTCTTCCAACATCAAATGCATATATATATTCTATTTAGAAGCTATATGTCAAGTTTGGGGACTCTAGCTCTTATTATTTACCAAAATTTCCCAAAAAACAGGACAGCAATATCAATTTTTAACGATTACTTGGAAACGGAGTAAGTTATCATTCAAAAAGGTATAACATTTTAAAATCAGACATTATTTACCCGAGATATTAAAAAAAAAATCATCGTTTCGATTTTTGCACCCATTTTTAATGGGTTCAGGGTATAAAAATGAGCTATCTGCGGCACGCCGTAGACTAAATACCCTTGCAGACTAGAACAAAATGATACGATTGAATATGGAAGCTATATGATATGCTACACTGTCAAGTTGGATCTTTAACAAAAATAAACATATGTCAACTATATAGTCTAGAACAAAAGGAAGGGTATTCAAAAGCTGCAAGGGTATTGAGAGACAGTGCGATGCAATAGGCAGGCGTTGAAGGAATGCAACTAAAGGCTGCACAACGACTACAACAAAAGTTAGCAAAACATATGTTTTGATAATATTTGTTGGATATTCTTTTCTTTTTTTTTTTTTTTAATATACACATTACTTTATTTACTCGTTGAGTTGCGTTCGGGCAAATCGATTCAGTTTTGAAGAGACATGTAATTACTATAAATAGCATTTAACATTAATGTAAAACGACTAATAATATAATAATTAATAATAATAAAATAATAATTATAATAATCAAAAAAAGAAAGTTCTTTGTTTTTTTAGTTGCAAATGTTAAGAATGTTTTTGTATTTATGCATCAATACATTTATCGTTAGCTTGATGCCATTTCATAGATTTCCTTTTCATTTTCCTTTTGATTTCGTTTCACTTAATTTCATTTCATTTCATTTCATTTCGTTTCGTTACGTTTCGTTTCCAAATTAGATTTTTGATATAACAATTTCTAGGCACACTCCAACTACAGTCTAATAAATATTTGTTTTTTTTTTTTTTGTGTATAAAATGAAAACATGTCCAAGACTTGAAAAAATAATCGAATATCGCGATAAATGCATGTGTTGCCACAACCCCCCCGTCCCCCACCCCCTCTGGCCAACCATCCGATGCTGGTCAGTTTAAACAGTTAAAGACATGCACGCGCATACATACAAACACACACAGCCTAGCATACACACATACACACACACACACACACACATAGAGAGAGACAAACAATAATAGAGAATGCTAGAGTATCAAAGGAAGATTTCGTTAAGTTTTAAAGCGCCTGCTGCCCGTTAGATGCCGCTGCGTGGACAGATAAAAAAAAAAAACAACACACAGACACAGAGAAAATAAATAATTTGTTTAACTTAACAACTAAAACATATTTGATATTTAATACTTAGATGTAGCCTTTACACAAAAACTCTTGTGCCGTTCGATTTCTTGATCGTATTTTTGTTTTTTTTTTTTTTAGCATATTTTCTTTTTTTTCATTTTTTTCGTTTACTGTTCATAACTCGCTATATTCCTCTCTCTCTCTCTCTCTTTCTTAATTTGTTGCTCTTAAGTAACTGCGATATGGTTTCGCTCCTTTTTTTTTGGAAGCGTTGTGTTAGTTAAATGGAATTCAAGTTTACAATTTTTGACCAACTTTAGCTGCCATGCGACTTAAGTATTGTATATATGATTTAACATAACCTATATACATGCATGAATATACATATATATATATATATATATATATATATGTATAGTGAGTAGATATGCGCTCTCTGTCTACTCTCAACTCTACACTTCACTCTCTAACGGTTTTTCTTACATAACGAACGAAAAAAAAAATAGAACATTTGGCCAATGAAATACGCTACAACAATTATGCAAGGCACATACATACACAAATCTATATGTATATCGATAAAAGTACATATATGTAAGGTATATATATATATATATATATTGTATAAAATGTTTCACTCGACTCGTTGCTTAAGGTTTAACATAATTACAGCGCTTTTTTCTTATTTTGTTTGTTTTGTTTTACTCGTTATTGTTATCGTACTTTTGTTCTCGTTACAATTCACTCGTTACTTTGCTTAAGAACTAACAAAATGTTGGGTACCCAGACAAAGTACAAAAAAAAGAATACATAACACACACATATATATATATATATATGAAGCCTAAACGTGTACATATATATCTATATAAATGTTTAACTGTGATTTAGTTATTCTTTTTTTTTTTACATGAATAGGCAGCCACACGATACACAATGTGAGCTATATATGTGTATATATATATATATATATAAGTACAACTAGATTACGAATCTATTGGATTATATAATAGAGAACTCAGTTATCGTTTCAGATTTCAGGATGTTGACGTTGCCATATTTTAGCAAAAAAAAAAAATGCAAATATTACATAGAATTTTTTAGTTTGTTTTTTTTTTTCTGGTTAATAAAGCGGGGCTCGAACGAGGTGCGATAGTTATTATGATATTTATGGAGCTTGTTGTTTGTAAATTAATCAAAAAATAGATATATATATATATGTATATGGTATGTAGGATAGTGTAGTAGCGTGTAAATAACGTTAAATTAAGTAAATCTTTTAGTTATAAGTAGTTGGTAAGTATAAACATTAGATACACAATCTTCTTGTTAAAGCAGTCGAAATACAATGTTAGAAGACAACTTTGTTTTTTTTTTTCACTCTTTTTTTCTTTTTTTTTTTTTGCTTTTCTTTTTTAACACGGCAAACATTTATCCAACATTTTAGCCCAGCCACATTCATTATCCAATTAATTGCTGCTCCTTCTTCCAGCTGCCTTTACGCCTCCACATGCTCCAATTTCATTAGATATAAAGATATAGCTGTGTGTGTGTGTGTGTGTGTGTGTGTGTATAGTATCGTATATGCATCTGTCACGCTCTCGCTCTCGCTCTCGTTCAGCGAACGTCTTCATTGTTTCAACGAAGAGTTGGCCGGCAGCGTAGCGGAGCGCTGCACATTCGCCGCGTACGGCTTGTAGGCGGAGCGTGTCGATTGGCTGCGCCGTCCGCAACGAGCGTTTTAGATGATATTTTGGTGATAATGATGATGGATGTTTTTAATCGTTTGTTTTTTCGGCGAGCGTACGGTAAGTAGTACAAGGGAGCGAGCGGTTCGAACGAACGAGCGAGTTGTTCGAACGAACGAGCGTGTTGTTCGAACGAATACAGGAGCAAGTGGTTCGATCGAACGAGTGAGCGTACATACGAGCGAGTAGTTTTGAGCAAGCGAGAAAAGAAAAATACAAGATACAAATTAGCTTAAGATTAGAAACACACAAATAGCCTTCAATTAGCAGCGGTTAAGGTATTATTATTATCTTTTTGGCAACGTCAATTGGGTAGGGTTAGGGTAGCTTTCTTCTTCGTATAGTTTTTTTTTTTTTTTGATTGTTTTTGTGCATGGTATTTTTTTTTTTTTTTGGAAGAACAGCTGCTTTACCTGGGCGATATCTTGCTGCCATCGGTGCTGTTGTTGTTCGATGAGTTCGCCTTGTATCCACTCTTTTGGATACGCTTCAAGAGGCGCGCCACCCACAGCGATTGCTCCTCGGGCGTATTGGCCAGGAGCAGCATGTCGCGTGCGCTGCGCGGATCATGATGCAGCTTGCACGGCGCCAGCGGATCATGTTTATCCACGTGCTCCTTGTGTATCTTATTGCGGCATCTACAAAACATAATTGCGTGTGCGTGTGTATTAAATCTCTTGGTAGAAACCTTGGAAGTTGCTGCAGTTGCTTACCTCTTGCATTCGTAGGCCGCCGGCGGCTTGAACATGGACCACAGCGGCTTGGCGCAAACGTCACAGAACGAGGGCGTATGATACGTAATGTGCACGAACTCATGACCTAGACAGAGAAAGGCAGACGATGAGAATGAGAAAGAGAGAGAGAGTGCGAGACAGGGAGAGAGTAGGGAGTTAAAAGTCAAGTTAGATATTATATGAAATGCGTCACGCATAGAAGGAGACATCTCCGACCCTACATAGTATATATATTCCTGATCAGCATCAAAATAGACTCAGATATATGCTGATCTATGCGAACAAGTCGCTCAGTTTTAAAGCTACCGTCATGAAACTTCACAAAAGTCACTCTTTTTGTTGTACATATGTCGAAACCATATCTTATAGCTGCCATTTCGATCGAAATATAGGTGCTTATATGAAAAAGTTTTTTGTTTATCAACATATAGTTAACAAACTCAGCATTTGATACTTTTACTATGCTGCTCATATGTATTTGAAATTCTAGCAACATCGGATCACTATATTATATAGCTGTCATTGGAACGATTGGTCGAAAGTTAGGTTTTTGTATGGAAAACTTATTTGTTATTCAAGATGTTTTAAAAAGGTTGATTCTGCTAGGGTATTATATCCTTGGCGTGCCGAAGATACCCTTCTTGCTCGTTATTAATCAAAATAAGTTATAAAAAAGCGAACTACTTTGAATTAAAGCTGCCAACCCTTTTTGTGGAACTTGACATGTGTAACAATTCTCAATCAGTCCTCAGTCTGTAAATTGCGTTAAGGAACTGTTACCGATCTTTACAGTTAAGGCTTACCCTTGTGCAAAATGGTGCCGGGTCGCTCCTCATTGCTGGCATGCAGCGTCGCGTCTAGCTGTTCATCGGGACGATGGGAGGCGCCCTCGCCGGCGTACAGCAGCTGGAAGATGCGCGGAATCTCTTTGGCATCGGCGCGTATGACATCGCCTTGGGTTACGCTGCGCACGTGATAGACTTTGCTGCAAAAGTGGCATAAGATGGGCATGTTTAGTATCCAGAGGGAGAGAGAGAGAGAGAGAGAGGGAGGGAGAGATATTTCAACTAACCTCAGATCGAGTATGAGCACGGGATCCGTTGTTTTATTCTTGTCATATTCCGTATTGTAGAAGATGATTTTGCGGGACGAAACGATCACATATTGGCGCTTCCAGTTTTGGCCACGACGGCGATTTTGCT